ATCGGCCGCTCCTTATGAAGTATGGAGATACCCTTACTGTTCTCATGCGCCGCGGCTCATCGACGTTAGCGGCCGCGCCGCCACACTGCAATCTGAATTCAATTTGCCTAAATCGTGAATCGACCATAACACTACCTCCCTGAGTAAGAATTTCTCCTGTATCAATGCCGTTGACCCATACCTGGTCGTATATTATCCTCATTAATGTCCACGTATTCATCGCGATCCGTTCGCGAGTGTTCATGAAAGAATCCGATTGCATGCATCAGTTCGTGGGCAATAATTCCCTAGATTCAATGGCTAGTTATGATTGATGTTAAATTCGTTTGAAATGAGATAGTTAAAGCCATAGTTTTCAGTATCATCACTTACTTTTGAGAAACACTTATCCACTTCTAATGATACCGTCTGATTACCACCAGCTCGGCCAACATATGATGAACATCTAAGTGATAGATTGAAGGGATGAATGTTAAGTTAAATGAATCAATATCGTTGTCCTACGAATGCTTACGTACCCGAATGCTACGTTCCTTTTGATGTAAATGTAGTCAAAATCATCCTCATTTCTGGGCACAAATCGGATACATGTTTTCTCTTTGTACTCATCAAATGCTTGAGCGATAGCGGCTCGTTGGCTGAAAAATAATCAGTAAGCATCTTTCAACAATAATTAAAGGTGGTGTGCACTATTCTGAGTCTAGGCTTGTATCGCAACAGATTAGTGATCAGATTTTCCCACTGAGTCCACCTTCATCGGTAATGCTGGAGTTGTACAAAAGGTCAGTAGGGTTCTTGTTAGCTTGTTTCGCACATTAGCAAGCTTGGCTTTCGGGTTATTCTATTCCTTTCTCATGATGATTGTTGATACAAATATCCCAATCTCATTGAATAATTTATATACCTTAAAGTCTTGGAAATGGGAAAGTCTATGACCCACACATTTTGCCTCCCTTCAGCGAACAATGGTATTATTCCGTGTTTAGATGCGGGCTTTAAATGGCGCTACGGTAAACACAATGTAGCCGCTGTGCTGGAGAAAAACGTTAAGGTAAACAAGGGCTGTGCGCGCCCGCTGATGGACCTGGTCTCGCAGGGGTCAGCTCTGCAAAGGAAAGTCGATACCAAGTTTGAGTAAATACATGTGAAGTTTAGTCTTATTTTGATAGATTTAATCCGCCTAATTCATGCAACTGCCATGGAAGCGTAATTTTCAAACATTAGGTTGCGTTTTTTAATGATGAATTTGAAGCTTTCACCGTTAAAATTACGAGTATTGTATAAAACTATTGACTAGAGCTGCAGAGTTCTTGTTCTCTATTTACATTAGTATAAGCGAACTTAAAGACCACTCACTCGTTTGTCATCCCTTCCTCCAGCATATACGGCACCTGCGCATCTGTCCATAACTTCTCAGGATATGTAACCAAATTTAAAGCGCTATGGTACTGAACCAAAAGGAAAGACCGGCATTTTCATTCAGTTTCAGAAATCACTAGTCGATTACCGGTTTTCCAAAAATTGCAGCTTCATCGATGTCTATGGGTTCATCGCGAAGCCGTCGCAGAGCTTGTTCTTCTAAAGATGGTATTCCAATGATATCTCCCTCAAACAGCTGGGAATTCTGCACAGCATCGAGCTGCGCTTCGGTGGGAATGTCAACTGGAAGATTGTAGGATATGATAGATACTGCTATCAAGAGGCTTCTCTTACCCGGTTTTTCAGCGGCATTCATAAAGTCTTCTGGTATTAAGAATTTTTCGGAGTAGTCTGGAAAATGTAAGTGATAACGGAAAATCGATAAATGGATTTTGTCATTTTTTGAGTAAACATCTGTGGTACAAACCATCAAAAAGATCTTTGACAAATTTCGCATTCGTGCTGGGAATAGGTACCGTTGCAAGACTATGAACGCTGTGAAATAGCAGCGATGCGAAGACGGCGAGGAGCAACATCAGCTACAACCACGAGTGATTAGCCTCGGTTCGAATTACGTATACCCCAATAGAGAAATAAAAGAGGGGGGACATTTGTGTAGGACGTACCTATATAGCAGAGAAGCGATGTAGAAGAACAAATTGAGCGGTTGATGCTGGGAGGGGAAACCGGTCAGCGGTGAGGATTTGTTTCTGGCTCGGCTGAGTCACTCCGGCGACGCTTGACCGGCCTAGAGAGCCGTCGCTGCTGCTGAACAAATGTCCGTAAATACAGTCAAACAATCCCCTAATTGTGTTTAGCCAAAGTAAATAAGCGAAATATTCTTTTCTAAACACAGATACATACTTTACGCATGGTAGAACGGCGATGAGATTTTTTGGAAATCCGCAATTGCATTCAATGAACACAATTATGGAACGATGGGAATAAATCTTTCAAAAATGGCGAAAAAAGCAGAAAGCGAAGGGACAAACTTAGAGTAACTGTGAAAAAAAGCGAAGTAATATAGCTGGATTTTTCTGAAGAGGTATCCGGTTCCATAGTTGTAGTTCATCACAGAAGCACCGTGAAGACGCGACGCGACCGCGCTTGCAACCAGATATATGGCATCATTTGATTTCGATAGGCATAATTTATTTTCTATAACTTGACTATTTGTCATTAATTACAATAAAAAATTAGTACGCATCACTGGCTTCTACCAGAGAAGAGCACAAATAGAGTTATTTTGCTTTTTTTCTTGCCCTTACGGTCGATTGAAAGGCAGAGTTATACGTTTTTTTTGGATTAGCGACAACGAGCGCTGAAGTATATACGGCTATTTGAGCAATTCCCAGTGTCAGTTCACCACTGTTTGAATAGATTAGGGTGGAACAAAGCTCTGTCACATCAAATTCCTAAACAAAGCATAGGTTACAGAGATGAACGCGCGATGTGAGTCTGTGTACCCTGCAGCTCTTTGGAAGTGTCGAAGGGTGGAACTTTTCGATTTGCAAACATAGCGCAAACGATAATCCACACAAAGCGATGGTAGAGATATGTGGTGACGATTCTGCACACGCGATAACGCTACTGTTGCAGCGGCCAAAGAAATCTTGCAAATCGTGCTTTACGTCTTCGACATTTAGATATGAAAGGCATAACATCAAAAATTCATTTTACAGGCTATGTACAGGCTGGATTCGTGAAACTGTGTTATGTTATCTTAAAATTCCAGTTTATCTGATATAGATGGTACCCGGCGCGCTAGATATGATTGTGACCTCTCATATGTACTCATACTCTGAGTGGGATATCTATGTTAGGGACAAACGAATTATGAGACAGGTGGCTAGGAGGAGGAGGTTAGAGTCAAAACAAGTTCTCCTCCCTTCCATTACTTATAAGTGTAGTGTAATTGGTAATGAAAGATATAGGGGGTTATGAAACAAGAGAGAGCGAGAGTCCTAACAAGTGGGATTCTCTCATAAATCTTTGAGTGTTGATCTTCTTGTTGGTAACACCTGCGCTCTTGAAGATGGAGAAAAGGTACTGCGGCAATGGTAAGACTTGAGGACTAATGATTTTCAAGTTTTGGCACTGCCGGAATTAGAATGTAGCAATGTGATAATATGCGACCGGTTGATAACATTTTATTACCTCAAAATTACTACAATTTTATCTGCGATGGGAATCTTTCCTGCTTTTCCTTCTTTTTTGCTCTAACCCTTCTACTACT